CTACATTTTTTGCTTATATTACTAACGCGTTAAATATGGCAGAACACGAAAGTTTGGAGTTCGGAAAGGCGGACTTTGTTCTTCTGGACAATGTCTCTTTGGAAGAGTTTATGGCCAACCTCAAACTCAGGTAAGATAATTCACCTACTGGGATCCCTCTTTCCATGTGCTTTGGTACGGGACAGGTATCATAATGGTAGCCTACTTGTATTCTGTATTTTTGCTTTGGATTTTGAAGTCGAATCTGAATTATGTTAAGAAGAATAAGAAAAAAACCTCTCTTCTTTACTTCTGCCTAAACTATGATTAAAATATCTATCTATCTATCTATCTATCTATCTATCTATCTATCTCTCTATCTATCTATATATCTATCTATCTATCTATCCACACACACACACACACACACACACACACACACACACACACTCACTCACAGTCATATCAATAGGTGATGGAAGTTAGTGTTACACCTAGTTACATAGTGGTTATGTTTCTGAACTGAACTCATACTGTGAGCTAGTAACTAATAATAGGCTACAAATCTGAATCATCATCATTGCATAATGCTTTATTAGCTTTGATCTACTGTGGTCAGATGGAGGAGTTAGTCAAAACATCTTGCAAAACATCTTTAAGAATGAAACAGTAATTGACTCATATTTTAGATAGTACATATTACATCTGGAATAAACTAGCCTTAAGTTTTTCAGGTCAAGGGAACAATGAATTACACATCTCATGTCAATATTAAAGGAATTCACAGCATTGTTGTGTTTGCTGTGTCTATTGTAGCTTCATATAACTGGCTGCACCTGCTGAGCCAGAGTACTGTATGACAGGATCAGAGGTGTGTTGACCATGGCAACACTCCCCTCTGATTGGCCTTATTGTTTTAAACAAGTTTGCAGTGGATATCCTACTATTGTGTTTTATGTTTTTGGCGATGTGGATCACATTTCCTCATCAGGACACTGTAAATAAATGACTTGATGGCTCTGATAAGATGAAGGTGATTGTAGTTTGAGAATTCAGAACTTTTTGTTAATGGTTAATATTACAATGCCATAAAATCAATTGTATGCTTCTCCGTAGTGACACTTAACTAGTGACCTATATGTGGATGTCTCACAAGGACACTAAATTATTGTTCTGGACATATTACAAGTAGTGTTTCCAGTTAATTGAGGGAGATATTTTTGGATCATATAATAAACTATAAATAATAATGATTTTAAATGTATAAATGAAATTATGAATTACTATTCAAAAGTTTGGGTCAGTATGATTATTTCATGTTTTTAAAGGGTTAGTTCA